TGAAATGAACTTTTAGCATGAGCTTGCAACCTACAATAAATGAAAAGCTTGGATTCTCTAAAAAAAAAAGGGTACCTCTATGCTTGCGTTTTCTGCCATTGCTCTCTGACATTCCTCTGCATTCTGACTTGCCTGAAATAGAACCATTCTTGGATTTAATTTACAGTTACACAACTAATGCTGGTCTTCTGGCTGAGTTTTTTTGAAAACTAGGAAAAAATAAGAACATGAATTTTACAATAGAAACATTGGAAAAAATACCAGGAAATACAAGGAACTATTTTCTGAAACAAGGAAAACAAATACAGTCTAACTTGCCCATGCGACCACATGTATTAAGCGAATTTTGTCTTAAACGACCACTGTAAATACCACCCGATCATTTCCTCTCATTATCTTTAATGTAATAAGCTACTTTCGCTCAACGCGACCAGCGACCACTAATTAGTCACCTAATTGAGATCAATTATTTCATTAAACGACCACTTTTACCTGTCAAGTAATTGTGTTTTTAGAGAGCGCCACCTAGTAATGTCACAAGTGTCAACAATTAAAACACAACAAAAAGACATGTGAATGAAATCAATTCCGACAGTATGGGACCATGTGTTGATGCTGTATGCCAAATATCAAGAGGCTTTGATAAGTAGTTCCTGAGGAAACTGTTACGAAAATTTCCTACCATTGACAATTAATGGTGAAAATTTAACTAAGTTGGCAAACAGGAAGTGGATGAGCGACAGACCTGAAATCAAATCCCTCTGTATGGGACCAGGTGTAAATGCTATATGCCAAATATAAAGGAGCTGTGATAAGTAGTTGATGAGAAAACTGTTACGAAAATTTCCTACCATTGACCATTAATGTTGAAAATTTAACTAAGTCGATAAACAGGAAGTGGATGAGTGACAGACCTGAAATCGAATCCCTCTGTATGGGACCAGGTGTCAATGCCATATGCCAAATATCAAGGAGCTGTGGTAAGTAGTTGCTGAGAAAACCGTTACAAAAGTTTTTCCCTGCCGCCCACCATACTATAACCCGGGTTTGCACCAGTGCAACCCGGCCAAAAACTCTATTTCCCAAACCGTTTTAGCGTATGCAAATGAAGTTAAGTGTGGCGTGTATAATCCAATAATATCGGATAAACAATGCTACGCTCCGCCCCTACTGAGATGGTGTATATGCTTCGCTTGTTGACATTTAGACTGCATTGAATTGACCTTGAACTTGGTCAACAATTAAATTAATCGTAACAATTAGATGTAGTTTGTTTATTTCAAATGAAAAGATGCACAACAGAAAACATCTTTACTAATAGGGTTTTCGTGTTGGAGACAAGGAAAAACAACGGAGAAGTTAAAAAATTCGGGAAAAAATGTCAAACATCTACGTTACAAATCAAAGCTGTTTTGTCAATAAATATCAGAAAGTTATCTTTTACACTTGCATTCATTTAGATTATCGGAGCGTATTAATTATTCATAATTTATATAAAAATGAAGTTGAAAAACATTCCTATCACATATTAAAGAAAGATGTCATTTATAAATTTTGACTTTTATATTATGCTGTCTTAGGAGACCATTTCATTCAGCGACCGTTTTGGGTGTTTCCCTTGCGCGGTCGCTTAATACACATTTGACTATATATCTTTTCGTAGGAATTTTAACAAACAGTTGCCTAAAATGAATTGCATGGGAATAATATCCACAGATACTTATGAGTTATTTAAACATGCCAGAAATTTTATTCTGATGCTGATATTCTTTTTTATATCACATTATTGTTTACATTATTGGCGACCCAAAGGTTTAATTCAAAACAATCTTGATACAGGTCCACCAAACAACATTTCAAGTCAAACATCTAAGCTGTAGCTTTCTCCTATTCAGAAAACATTTGTTTTATTTTCTGTTTTTACTATGTGTACATAATGAGAATCACTGCCCCCGGGCAGGGCCAATTTTGACACCAGGGGAAAAATTTGAACAACTTTGGTACAGGACCTATAGATGATATTATATAGCAATGCCTTCAGTGTCTATTCTAGGAATTGAAAAATAGGGGTGATTTTCCCCCCTCTATATCAAAAAAGGGGGCGATTTTCAAAATCAAAGGGTGCCAATATAAACTGCCAATGTTAAATCGTCTGCATTAAGTTTACACTGAGGCGTTCAACCGATGAAATAATTAAAACGACAATATTTATTTAAGGCAGCAGAAGTTGTCCCCCCTTAATTTTTAAACGAAAACAAATTATTACAGAACTGAAGAGTTTTTAATTTTTTACTATATGTACATAATGAAAATCAATGACTCCTGGGGGTGGGGCCAATTTTTGACCCCAGGGCTAAAATTTGTACAGTCGTGCTAGAGGTTCACTACACAATGTTTCATGCAAAATATCTTAACTCTAGCCTTAGTAAATATAGAGAAGATAATTTTTAAAGTTTTTACTATAAACATATTAGGAAAACCTATGAACCCTGGGGTGGAGCTAATTTTGACACTAGAGGCAAAATTTGAACAACTTTGGTATAGTACCTATAGATGATATCATTTAACAAATATTAAAGCTCTAAGCCTTGTACCTTCAGAAAATAAGATTTTTTTATTTTTTACTATATGTAGATATTGAAAATCAATGACTCCTGGGGCGTGGCGATTTTGACCCCAGGGCTATAACTTGAACAATCTTGCTAGAGGTTCACTACACAATGTTTCATGCAAAATATGTAACCTCTAGCATTTGTCAATTGCTAGAAGAAGTTTTTTTAAAGTTTATACTTGAAGTTTTTACTATATACATAAAAGAAAAACCAATGACCCCTGGGGCGGGCCAATTTTTACCCCAGGGCTATAATTTGAACAATCTGGGTAGAGGTCTACCAGACAATACCTTATGCGAAATATCTAAGCTCTAGGCCTTTTGCGTCTTTACAAGAAGGTATTTTAAGTTTTTACTATATGTGCATATAGTGAAAATCAATGACCTCCGGGGCGGGGCCCCAGGGCTTGATTTGAACAATCTTGGTAAGTATCTACCAGACAATGCCTTATGCATAATATCTAAGCTCTAGGCCTTTTGGATCTTTACAAGAAGGTAATTTAAATTTTTACTATATGTACATATAGTGAAAATCAATGACCCACAGGGTGGGGCAAATTTTGACCAAAGGGCTAAAATTTGAACAATCTTGGTAGAGGTTTACCAGACAATACCTTATGCAAAATATCTAAGCTCTAGGCCTTTCTGGTCTTTACAAGAAGATTTTTTAAATTTATTCTTATGATTCCTTACGGTTGCCATGGCAACCAAATTTCTGCATGGAATGAAATTCTTTGAACAACTTTGGAAGCCCTTCACCCAAGGATCAATCCTGCCAAGTTTGGTCGAAATTGGACAAGTGGTTTTTCACAAGAAGATTTTTAAAGTTCACTATATAATCTATAGAACACACACACAAACAAACACACAGGTGAATCGCTATATGCCAACGCATCGCAAATAGTGCGGTGGCATAAAAATAGGCACAGAAGGTACATCTTAAGCAAAACAAAACATGTCAAAATGCAAGTAAAAACTAGGAAAACTAGGGAATCTCCAGAAGACCTGCAAATATTCTGAGAATCATTTATAAAAAGTGTGAAACTGAATAAGAATTAATAAATAGTTATAGTGAGCCTTTTGTGAGCTCTTTGCACAAGCTTTTAGGATGAGTTTACCAATAAATTATAGAACAACAAGTGCGAGAATACCACATGCTTTAAATATGTAAAGTTTGTATAAGAAGTATTGGCTCTTTTGCAACCTATTGTTTCTATTTCTATTACATATAAAGGGCTGAAGTGACAGCATACAGTTAAAAGTATTACATCAAATGATATTTAGTACTTTACAATTTTCGTAGATACAGATACTATCTAGAGCCATCACAATTGTACTGAATACCCCAAAAAAATCCTTTACTGGTCATGGGCATTCTACATATGAAGTTTGGGCAGGTGGACGGACACAAGATTAAGTACATTTTTGTACCATGTGCCCAAATTTAACTGTTTTGCTAGCACCTACAGGTCTTTAAATGATTAAAAAACAGAGGGGCACAGTGAAAAACCACTCTATTGTTAATAAATGACATTCATCAATAATTAATCCATATTTATTTATAAAACTATCATTATGCAAGTATTAACCAATCATTATCAAGTATTAACCAATCATTATGGAGACCAGTGTGTGAATATTTTAAGTATTAACCAATCATTAGGGAGACCAGTCTGTGAATATTTTAAGTATTAACCAATCACTACGGAGACCAGTGCATATGTAATATACACTGGTGTACATAAGGCTTCATTAATACTTAAATATATCAGCCAAGCGGTTCCCCACCCACCCTACCTTTAAGACGTCACGTTCTAACCAGTTCTACACCAGCCCGTACCTTCCTCCATTTATATTGTTCTTGTTTCTAAATTATTCAGTATTTTTAAATTTAAGTAGTACTTATAGTTAAATTTAACTTATTTCATATATTTGTTTATTAATTTATAGGTCAATCATTACTAATTCTTCACTGCTTTTTGGTTTCATGATTGATCTACAAAATTATATATAACTGTGACCTTGATCCCAGTAATGATATTAATACAAGAAGTCATGACTGGTCATAATGATGTAAATTCCTAATTTTCTTCCCCTCTGACATAAATATATAGACTGTTATACTTATTTACCCCTACTTTACGGGAGACAGTGCAGAAATGTCAATACACAGACAACTTGGTTTAGATCACAAAATTCTTCAAGCTAAACAGCAAAATCGGATAGTAAATGTGCCAATGAAATCTGTTTAGTAACGACCAATCATATCTTTTCATTTCTTCTAAATCAGCTATACAAATTGCATAATTTTTCGGCCAATCAAAATTCACCTATTAAACGTGGTTCGGCGCTATCTGTCAAAATTCGTTTCTGCATTGTTCTCCCTAAGGAGAAGAAGTTATATTATATGATGGCCGAATTGAAAGGTACAGGCTATGTTCTCAGGCGTATTGCTAAGGTTTATATTATTAAACCTTTTCGTGTCTGAAATAAAGTTTTAAAAACAAAGATTTACAGTGATTTACTGCGTTGGCCTGTTATAGGAAGGCGTACGCGTATAAGCGTCTTCCCCCCTTCAAAACTAGTTTAAACACTTTAAATATGATTTGCAATAAATTAAGCAGTCAATAAACATAGTTATAAGGGTTTTTTTTGTTCCAAATATAAAAGGCGTACATGTATAAACGTCTTCCCCACTTTTTAATTTAAGTTTAAATTTTAAATACAGCTTTTTAATCTAAGTGTGGGATATAATCCCACCTTTTTCCGGCTCCATCTACTGCAATTATTTGCATATTTGGGACAGGAAATATTGTACTCACTAGTCATATACGCAGATATTAACTAAATTAAGTTTTTTCCCTGTAATAAATGAAGCATATGCTCGCCCATATTGTTTTATACCGGTGGCGAGGGTAAATAAACCCAACACACACAAATATATATAAAATATGCTTCAATGCCTTACTTTGGTCTTTGTCTCCATCTTGGGCATCTGCTTGCTCCATGTCAACAGGATCATCTACAAGGGCAGTGGAAGATGAATCATCAACAAGGAGGGTGGAAGACAGATCATCCATAAGGGGGTTGGAAGACAGATCATCCACAAGGAGGGTAGAAGACGAGCCTTCATAAATAAATCAATTCAAAATAATACTTTGAGAAAAGTACGAGGTAATTCAGGGCTCCTAATCGCTCACCCGAAAAAAGCTCAAACAGTCACAGTGGGGCTAACCCATACCTTTAATACAAATACAAAAGCCTTGAGCTTTTAGGCAAATACTTTTGAAGATTTCACTAAGGAAGGAACAGCCTTGCAAAATTTAAAAAAATATTGGCCAGATGGTTTAGAAGAAGAAGTTCAAAGAACTTGTTGACCCACTGATGGATGGACAGACAATGGCCACCACAAAAGCTCACCTCTAACACATAAAATAAAACATAGAGACAATATAGCAAATGTGAAAATAATAAGTGCTATGCCAAGTAGAAACTGTTCTGGATTTGCATAAGTGAAAAACAGTGTGTCTTGTTGTTTTACATTCTATAAACACGGTATATACACAGACGCTGAACACTCAAGTTTGGTTTGTTTTCTAATTATTTTCTGAATAACAAAGAAGCAACACCAAAAGGCCCATTTCAATTTATAATGAAATACAGTCCAACCCCTTTTATTCGAAGTGCCTAGGACTGAATATCTACTTCGAATAATCGATGGGTTCGAATAATCAAAATCCATATATTGTGATAGACGAAAACTACTCCACTTTGACAAATCGTAGCAAAACTACAGTTTACAACACATTTACATCCTGTAATCAATTGAGAAAAATAAATATTAAAGAAAACATGCGTAAAAATTATTGTATTGACATTGAAGACATAAATACTTGCATTTTATTCTACATTATGTATAGTTTCGTTTCGCGCAAACCTTGATAATGGCCGTGTTGTCGCTACGGTATTTACAGCTAAACTCTGGTATTTTCCATTAGGAAAAAGGCTCTTATGTAGTGTTTTGGATGTTTTGACAAATTAACATATACGGTATGTATGAAAAATATTGCTGTCATCTTCAAGCAACAACAGTTACAAAATCGGTCACGGAGCATTGCTTTTCATTTTCGGTAATTAAAGTTGATTAAAGAACACAAAAAGAGCTATTATCACGATTGTCTAAATACATGCATGACTATTGATGTTTTTCACAAGTCGACCAGTCAGCGAGTGGATCTGCGCAAATTAGTCTGACTTGGAATAATAATTAGGCTAGCTTAGAATAATAGGTGTGAAATTCTGTCATAATTGTATAATCGGGACCGAAATTTTACTTCGAAAAATAGGAGGTATTCAGATAATGCATTTCGAATAATACGCTCGTATTTATATAGAGATAAAAACGGGACCGCCGATCTACTTCGGATAATGCCGGGTATTCCAATAAAGGGTTGTTGAATAACCGGGTCGGACTGTAGTTAGGAAGGCTGTCAGGAAAGTTTGTAGACTGTCATATTGGAATACTTTTCATATTGACATAGATTTAAATGTTTTTTGCAGCAAAAGAATTGACTTGGCTATGACATATATTTTAATAAAAATAAATATAAAGACCAGAAAAAGTAGTCCGATGAGACTCGTTACAAAAACCGCAATGTTTCATCAGTATCACAATCATACCAAAAAGTATGCAACCCTAATTTTAATCAAAAATTGAAAAATGGACAACAATAGATTAACAGTTAGAACTGATATTTGTTCCATAAATATTTTTTGCTATGTTCATATGACTTATCTGATTTTAGAATGTTGGGTTTTAATTTAAATCTATAAGCATGTATTCTGCTTCAAGTTTTGATTCTATTTGACGAGTCTACAAACTTTCCAAGTAACCCTTGTAAAGTTATGGTGAAATGTTAATGTACCTTGCTCTACAGTCTTCAAAATTCTGCCCATCACCTTCACTGCTTGGACACCACGGGGGCATTGGTAGTTGTCCCTGTTAATATGTTCCTCATGGCCCATATGCTCCAGGAAGATTTTCTTCTGGTCTGCTGGCATATTGAGAGAAGCATATATCGTAGACAGTCTGTGTCTCATCCCTGTTGCAGTTATTGGTATTTCCACCCCAGCTGCAGAGCAAACTTCACTGAGTGCATGCCACCCAGAACAATGAGAAGTTCTTTTTGCAGTTGCAAACACAAAATTGTTGTTCTCACAAATGTTGTAGTTTGCCCTTTCTTTCACCAGCAATCTAATACCAAGAACAATATCATTTGGGATCAACACTGGCACAAACTTCTTACCCTTGCCTAAAATGTAGCAAAGTTTATATTGTCCTACAAGAAATTTTTCTGCATCATCAGTGATCTTCTGTATCTGCTCATCGGGAAGCCACACATTGTTTTCAGCAGCCTCCCATTCATTTAACAACATACGAGGGGCCTCCTCTCCGCGTCTAGCATTAAACAATGTTAGCCTTGACACTACTAATGTTCTTAAAAGTTTATAGTCTTTTATATGAAAGTTTTGCACAGTTTTTTCAATGTTGATGTGAATATAGTCTTGAAGCTTTTGGAGATTTTTCTCACATGGCAAGTTTTCTGGTCTTCTTGACTTTTTCATAGACTGTTTGACACATGTTTGTCGCGCCTTTGGATAAAGTTCACTGGATTTGTATCTGTATGCTTCTAGATACACTTTGAGTATTTTCTTCTTTTCATCCTGCATTGTTTCTGAAAAATAGCCCATCAAAGTTTTTATTGATCTTAAAATGACTGCATCTAATAGCAATTTTAATCCATACTTTTCAGTCTTGTCTTTTCTTGTAACCATTTTTTCAATGGCATCAGCAAGGTCTTGTAAATGTTCTCTGGTAAACATTTCTTCAATTGCTTTTTGCTCACCAATAATCTCTGAAAATGTTAAGTACAGTCTTGCAAGTTCTCTCATATCAGACATGACGACTTTCCTAACTTCATCACCCTTCCCTTCTTCATGTCTTCGCATATTAAAATGCTTGTAGCCTATAATCTGTAGTATATTATTGTTTCGAATTAGATTGCCCACCTCTCCATCAACAAATCTGTTCAAGATATTCTGGAATTCACTGTCATTGTCCATTTTGCTTTTTTTTACTTTCTGAAGCAAGGCTGGTTTGATTGCATAAGGTTTATCACTTTTGCACTTGTGTTTGTAAAAGTATTTGTTTGAGTAATACCCTTTACACTCAGCACATGTTCTGAGTTTATCTTCAGAGACCGGTTTTCTTTCTCGCATTGCTGGGTTCTTGTTTTCTGACATTAACTTGAGATTATACTCTGATATTCCTTCCTTTTTCTTTTCATCAAAAAACTGATTCTGAATTCTATTTTCCTTCTGTAATATGTTCATAACTTCTGGGACTTTCGCATGTTTTCTTGTGATATGTCTTTTTAGCTTGCCATTTTTTACTATTTCCTTACAATAAATACCAGGGCACTAGACAACTTTTGGGGACAGGTACCCATACCCTCAGGAAGGGGAATTTTGCGTCATTTTATGACAAAAAGGGGAATTTTAAGTCATATATTAGTTCTTTAAATTTAGGTTTTACACTAACTCTTGGCACTATTTCCTACCATTACTTACAATAGCTAGTTAATTTATTACCATAGACCTAACAAATAAAACATATAACATGAAGTTATTCTTGAAGTAGGCTATCTCTGACACTGTTTTCTTTATTGTTTTCTTATTGCACTTGACTGACTCAGACATCAATCAGAGCTCCAGATATATGTTTTTGGCCAAGGGTTTTATACCCCTCAAATTCTAGAGTGAGGGGTAAAATGCAAATTCTGATAAACATAAGGGTTAAATTAAAATCTATAACAAGCATAATGCATTTTTTATAATAAAAAATTAAAACTGACAGTTGCTTTTGTTGTTTTGTTGTTTTTTTAAACTTGTACAAAAAATATTGATTCAGTGCAACAAGCTCTGGAAAGGCAGACTTTCCTTGGCAAGGGTATGTACCCAAGTTATGGAAACACAGCAAAGTTATTTCCTATTATAGTCATTAATGATTTCTTAATTTTTAATGTAAAAATGTATCACACTATTTTGCAATGTGCACTGGTCAGTTCTTAAACTATTTTCTACATATTTTTGCCTGTTCTTTAGAATGTAACAATTATAACAATGAGAATGGAAATAAGAATTAAAACAAACAAGAAAGCTTTATGCCTTTTCTAAGAAAGGTATTGGTTTCAGAGGAAATTTTATGTAACTGTAAAACTGGGTATGAAAATATTTGGTACGAAAATATTTGAGTACAAAACTGCAAGAGAAATACGTTTTTTCCAACAATTACTGACAGAAATTAAAACAGTTTTGTTTATTTTCTAGCAGAAGTAAGACAATGTATATCTATTCTCTAAACAAATTGAATATAAGGTAAACTCTTACGATGATAATCTGCCAAATTAATTTTGTCAATAATTTTACGGGAGTTACCTCCCTTCTGTACAGTACATTTTTCACTTCCTGCTACTTTCGGTTTTAACATACAGCGTTGTTGACAAATTCAATCCATTGAAAGTTAAACAGAAATATATTTTATTTGAATGAAATCAAAACATCACCTTTTTCTTAAATATCAAACATTAACACTACAATTTTTTTTTTAGGGGAATTTTTTACTGAAATAGGGGAAAAAACCATATGATTTTGAGAGGGGAATGGGGCCGATATTCGGCCCCAAAAATGGCCAAACGAGTGCCCTGAATACAGAAGCGGTCAGGTTTCTGAAATAAATAACATACAGTTTTGATAAAAGCTTATTCAATTATACACATTTAAATCAGTTGCAGTGGCATACATTTATAATCAATATATATAAACACTATAATCCTGTCAGTAGGTCATCAGATAGAGGTCCTCTACAAAAATTACTCAAATTGACTAAATATCTACATAATTAATATCTGACTACTTGTCTTTAAATTCAAATCAAAATAGTATAAAATTGTATTATATTTAAACAAGAGGGCCATGATGGCCCTGAAATTGCTCACCTGTACATAGGCCCCTGGGGTAGGATTAACAAGAATTTGTAACAGAGTTACCAACGTCCCTGCCTAGGGGAAGTTTCATATGAAGCATAAAATTGTGCTATTTTAAAAGATTGAGGTATGGATCGAAATCCCTTGAACTATGAAGAAGTTATAGATGGGACACAAAATATACCCTCCAACAGACTATGTTAATCTTTGACCTCTACATGTGACCTTGACCTAGGAGGTAGGGACACTGGTGTTACACATGACATATCATCTTATCATTGTGACTATTTGTGCCAAGTATTTTCAAAATCCCTTGATCTATGAAGAAGTAATGGACAGTACACAAAATATACAATATAACAGACTCTGTTAACTTTTGACCTCTAAGTTTGACCTTGGAGGTAGGGGTGCAGGTGTTGTACTTGACATATCGTCTTATTATTGTGACTATTTGCGCCAAGTTATCAGAGCTCCAGATAGCGTGCGTATAAGCGTAAAATACGCATAGAAAATCTAAAATACGCATCACTTTCAAAATTCGTGCGTCACAGTTATGCACAACAAAATGAAAATACGCTCGTATGTCAAAATTTATGCGTAAAAGAATAGAAGTGTAAACATTTGATATGTAGAAAGAAAATGTTTTGAGCATAAAATACAGTATATTTCCATTTAGGGTCGCTACTTTCCGACCGAAATTTGACAATATTTCAGATCTTGATGATTTTTGGTGTATATAAATATAGATATGTAGGCTTTACTTCTGCAGCATTATTTTACAAATAAACAGCGTTACTATGACGTCAAAGCGCCCTCTATCGATGGCGGCGAAATTGCGTCTTTTTTATCAATAAACCGGTCTGTTCTTATTAATTTTCATCCGATTTCCTTCGTTTTAATTTTATAATGTTCAGTAAATGTATGTCTTTGAAATAATGTCTTTCTTTAACATTTGCTTAATACTCTGCGATTCTACGTCATTTTTCTCTACATTCTGACGTCCATTTATAATACAAATATCGCGCGATATCGCAATAAAGATTGTAAAATAACAAAAAATCCACACGGTGAATTTTGCTATAATTTTTTTAACATGTAGTGAAGTCATGAAAGAAAATATTTATGCAATAAAAATATAGGGTCAACGCGTAAGATATTTTGCTATTACTATTTTAATATAAGATAAAGGATGAGTAAAACGTAATGATTTTGGTGACGTCAAATATTTTCTCAAGGAAATTGTCACGACTTTTCCGATGAATAGTATACTGACTGGAATTAAAATGTGTAAAAACCATCAACAACAATTGTATTTAGACATATTCCGTAAAATGTTCTTTTAAAAGTCCTGTCAGGTGCCCGCATTTCGATGAACAACTTCAATTATATACATGTACAACAAATCAGGGTATGACTGTCTGCAAAAGTGTGTATCAATCTCTAAAAAACTGAAACGAATGTTATAAATACCTCGAGGACTGAAAGACAATTCAGAATATTGAAAGATATAATTAAAAGGCCACCTAAGTGGAAATAATACAAACATAAATTTTGCAAAGAATGTCAGAAAAAAAAGAATGAAAAGGCTGGTGCAGTCGCGGTGTCATCATGTCAACATTGGAGTTTACATACAAAGAAATACAATTGTATTTTTTCCATTAACAAACTGTTCAACTCAGATCAACAAGGCTGGAATTTTGGCAACGAATAGCCTCCATAGTATCTCGGTACTATATAAACTTCCATGTTATCATACGTATGTAACAATTTCGAATTGTATATATCAGTTAGTAGGAAATGAATCAAATTTACGTTTTAAAAATGTATGATTAACTCGAAGTAACAAAGATTTGTAGGTAAGTCATGTTTCACTGGTAGTCTTAATTATATAAATCTAGCAGACATTTATTTTAAAACTTTTCTACTCGTATAAAAATTTATTTGAGCCGCGTCACGACAAAACCAACACAGTGCGTTTGCGACCAGCATGGATCCAGACCAGCCTGCGCATCCGCGCAGTCTGATCAGGATCCATTCTGTTCGCTATCAGTTTCTCTACTTATTAAAATGTTTAAAAGCGAACAGTATGGATCCTGATCAGACTGCGCGGATGCGCAGGCTGGTCTGGATCCATGCTGGTCGCAAACCCATTATGTTGGTTTTGTCGTGACACGGCTCATTTATTAACAGCCATCAGTTATTCTATTTTCTCTCGCAGCTAAATACTAGTAAATAATATCCCTGCACTAAGCGTGAGACTCAGATTTATCATGCTATGGCTTGAATTTCTCACGCATTTCACATAATTACAGATATTCTTATTTATTTAAAACTCCTGACTCGCGGTATGCGTTTACTAGCGCATCTTTGAGGCGACCTGAAGCCGCGATCATTTCTCGATTCGAGGCAAAAGATCCGTTGATTTATTTTGTATGTTCATAAGCGGATAATTTTGCATATTAAAATTAATACAGATTCCCTTGTATTGAAGACGATCATGTAGGATCCTCAATTTGTGTGAATATGGTTTTCGGAGAAGCTCGTTTTTGTCTGCACATAATACAGAGCTATGTAGAGCCTATGAAAATAATGAACTATGCATTTTATGTTTTATATCTTCTTATTTTTTTAATATTGGGTTTCAACAGTATTTCAATTATAGCCGAGGGAATTTAACAAAACCAGTGTTTCTCACAGTATCAACTTCTCTACGGAAATAAATGACAGGAGTCCGAGGTGGACCTTGAAACATTTCATACACAGTAAACAATTCTAAAGGATAATCTATTAGTACAATACGCAATCGTGTCTCGAATTCATGCCCTCCGAATTCAGCGTAAGACCACTTTCCGATTACAGAATATTCAAAGTTAAAAACCTGATTATGATCTCCCTTAATAAGGCAGAAGTCCACTTTATTGTTTACATAATAAACACGTGTTTTTGGTGTGTGCTTTCGTTTTTTTGTGTGTTTTTTTGTGTGTGTTTTTTTTTTCTATTTTTGTTTTAAAGCAAACTGTATTGTATTAAAAATGAACACGATAACGTCAACATAATACATTATTCGTATTCAGTGGTAACAGAAGTTGCACAAGTTAGTTAATAATTATATTTTGTATTTAATTAAAATATACAGTATAACATCTACAGAGAAATGACCTTTGTTGCCTAGAGCGGTTGCTCTACAGAGGTAAAATGTAGTGGAGCCCTTTAGAAATAAATAATATTTTGGGGGCCGCTTTGTTATACTGTAATGAAAAAGCGGTAAGTAGGTATACGTAAATCCGAGTTCCAAAAAGTTTTATAGTTTGTCATTTACTAATTATGACATTTAAATTAGATTATAATTATATAATATATGTATTGCACATACTTAAAAATGGTAAGCAAAAATAAATGTTTTTGTTTCTTGTATATTTGAATATTATTTCTGAATTTAATTTATCACTTATTTCACATTTGTATGCATATCTATTTTAATTGCATTTTTACGATGTGTTTTGACCGAGTTTCGTCTGCCTTTATGTGATTTTATGAAAGTGTTTAAAAGCTGAATGTAACGTAAAATAAATATTCTAACGGGTATAAGCTAAGCGACCTAATATTCTTACTTCATTCATACAGCAATATGTGAATCTTATTTTTTTGCGCTGAAACTAGTTAATTCATATAACAAGATTGCATTTGAGAAAAATGCTATGCCACCGCATGGTTCAAATTTCATAGCTGTACACCAAAGGACAAGAAAGTAGGTCACATCATCAAAATCTAGGTCACCTGATATCAAAGTTCAATTTTACAACTAAAACTGTGCACATGGTCAAAATGTCATTGCTGTACATTAAAGGACAAGAAAGTAGGTCACTGTCCCCTTGGGCAAGGCATAATTTTGACCCAAGGGTTTAATTTAAAACAATTTTGATACAGGTCCACCAAACAACATTTCAAGTCAAATATCTAAGCTATAGCTTTCTCCCATTCAGAAAACATTTGTTTTATTTTCTGTTTTTACTATGTGTACATAATGAGAATCACTGCCCCCCAGACAGGGCCAAATTTGACACCAGGGGAAAATTTTGAACAACTTTGGTAGAGGACCTATAAATAATATTATATATCATACATCAAAGCTCTATGCCTTGTACCTTCAGACAAAAATATTTTTTATTTTTTCACTATTATGTACATAATGAAAATCAATGACCCCCGGGGCGGAACCAATATTGACCCCAGGGCTATAATTGGAACAATCTTGCCAGAGGTTCACTACACAATGTTTCATGCAAAATATCTTAACTCTAGCCTTTGTAAATTTAGAGAAGATGATTTTTTAAGTTTGTACTATATACATATACGGAAAACCTATGGCCACCAGGGGGCGGGGCTAATTTTGACACAAGAGGCAAACTTTGAATAACTTTTGTAGAGTACCTTCAGATGATATAATTTAACAAATATTAAAGCTCTTAGCCTTGTACCTTAAGACAATAAGATTTATTTTATTTTTTACTATATGTATATATTGAAATCAATGACCCTCGGGGGCGGGGCCAATTTTGACCCCAGGGCTATAATTGAACAATCTTGCTAGAGGTTTACTACACAATGTTTCATGCAAATATCTAACCTCTAGCATTTGTCAATTGCTAGAAGAATTGTTTTTGAAGTTTTTTACTAAAAGTTTTTACTATATACATAAAAGGAAAACCAATGACCCCCGGGGCGGGGCTGATTTTGACCCAGGGCTATAATTTGAACAATCTGGGTAGAGGTATACCAGGCAATCCCTTATGCAAAATATATAAGCTCTAGGCCTTTTGGGTCTTTACAAGAAGGTGTTTTAAGTTTAATATGTACATATAGTGAAAATCAATGACCCGGGGCGGGGCCGATTTTGACCCAAGGGCTATAATTTGAACAATCTTGGTAAGGGTCTACCAGAAGATGCCTTATGCAAAATATCTAAGCTCTAGGCCTTTTGGGTTTTTACAAGAAGGTATTTTAAGTTTTTACTATATGTACATTGTGAAAATCAATGACCCTCGGGCGGGGCCAATTTTGACCCCAGGGCTTTAATTTGAACAATCTTGTTAGAGGTCTACCAGACAATGCCTTATGCAAAATATCTAAGCTCTAGGCCTTTTGGGTCTTTACAAGAAGATTTTTTTAATTAATTCTTATAATTCCTTTTGGTTGCCATGGCAACCAGATTTCTGCATGGAATGAAATTCTTTGAACAACTTTGGAAGCCCTTCACCAAAGGAACAATCCTGCCAAGTTTGGTTGAAATTGGACTAGTGGTTTTTCACAAGAAGATTTTTTAAGTTCACTATATAATCTATATAACACACACACAAACACACACACAAACACACGCACACACAGGTGAATCGCTATATGCCACCGCATCGCAGATGCTGCGGTGGCATAATAATATAACACTTTTCACTCTTTCATGACAAACATCAAAATATAAAATAAAAATTAAAAGATGTATGAGACTGCGTCCTGCAAATTAGAAACGTATTTAAGATTAAACATTGTAAATTTGCTGTTCTAGCGCATGCTTTCAATGAGAAAATAATCAACAATTTAAAAAATATACATTTCATCAAGTTCCTGTGTTGTTTATACTTACAATCGTAATGTTTGACGTAAGAAAATTGTTATTTGGTATTATTTTTTGAACTCCAACGTCTATTAACGCCACCAAAACCATTACGTTACATTCCCTTTATTTTAAAACAGTAATAGCAAAATATCTTACGCGTTGACCCTATATTTTTATTGCATAAATATTTTCCTTCACTTTCTCACTACACGCTCGAAAAATTATAGCAAAGTTCACCGTGTTGATTTTTTTTTATTACACAATCTTTATTGCGATATCGCGCGGTATTTGCATCAGATATGGACGTCAGAATGTAGAGAAAAATGACGTAGAATCGCAGACAATTAAGCAAATGTTAAAGAAAGATATCATTACAAAGACATACATTTACTGAACACTATAAAATTAAAACGAAGGAAATCGGATGAAAATTGATAAGAACAGATTGGTTTACTGAAAAAAAGACGCAGTTTCGCCGCCACCGATAGAGGGCGCTTTGACGTCATAGTAACGCTGTTTATTTATAAAATAATACTGCAGAAGTAAAGCTCACATATCTATATGTTTGCATACAAAAAATCATCAAGATCTGAGATGTTGTCAAATTTCGGTCGGAAAGTAGCGAGCTACCTTAATTGCATTGAAAACAAAAAATTCTGTTGTCAACAACGCATGTTAAAAACGAAAGTAGCAGGAAATACAGAAGGGAGGTAACTCCCGTAGATTTATCAACCTGTGAAATTATTGATGAAATTTGTGCCAGATAATCATCGTAGGAGTTAACACAGTATTAAGTTTGTTTAGGCATCTATTGACATACTCAATATAAACAAAAATATATTTTAATAAAATTTCTTTAACTTTAACAAAATAACATGTTATTCACCTGCAGTTTTGTACTCAATATTTTCGTACCCAGTCTACAGTTACGGACAATTTTCTCTCAGACCAATAATTTTTTTTAAGGAAAGATAAAAAAAATCTTGTTTATGTTTCTTTAATTCTAATTTCAACTATAATTGTTCAAACTGGAGTACATGATAAGGTACATGCCAACAAAAATAAAGAATGAAAAATATTGACTCCTAGAAAATAAAATAACTTGAGGGCTTCCACTAGTGGAAGTTTGGGAGTCTTTTACTCCTTCAAGTGGCCTGTGACTTCCAAAAATCAATACTTTCCTTCTTTACCTATATAATGTGACTTCCAATATCAGAGATTTTGAAGTCTTTGACTTCCAAATTTTGAAAATGGAAGCCCTGATAATTTTGCTGTGTATCCTAAACTTGAGTTCCAGTATACTCTGGAAGTCTGACTTTACATGGCATGTTTTGTATTGTTTCACATTAAATCAGTATTTAATTTGTAAAGGTTTTTCTAAAAAAAGAAAATAAACAAACAAACAAACACAACAATAAGTTTAATTTGTTTATAAAAAATGCAAAATGCTTTTTTGACAGATTTTACCCCTTAAGTTTTTCTGAATTTGCATTTTACCCCTCACTCTAAATTTTGAGGGGTAAAAACCCCTTGGCGAAAAAAATTATCTGGAGCTCTGAATTATTTTAAAATCCCTTGAATTATGATCAGACACAATATATACCCTTTAACAGACTATGTTAATTTTTTACCATTGTTTTCAATTTATTTGTAAACTAAGTTTATTGTTCTTATTTTTCTAAGAAGATCAGACGTGGGCAGCATGTTCACGAATAATAATTTTATATCAGGAAACACTTGTCAGATTGTACTAAGTTACAATATGCAATCAAAATGCTGAAAGTTTGTCAATATCAAATTATTATATATTTCTTAATAAGTCACAAAGAAAATACATTGACTATGGGTCACAAATAACTTGATAATATTCGCCAATAAAAGGCATTTAAAACCTGTGTAATAATTCTTTACCATATAAGAAAAAAAAAATCACATTTTCCAGCGGTACCGCGACGCACAATTCACGTTCATCGGCGTAACCTCATAAAAACGACATAAATCCCATTTTATCAGCTTATTTCAATTTTCACCAGAATTTAAGTAAATGACGCTTGTCTACCAAAACTCTAGATGTCAAATATTTAAGCCCTAGCTCTTTAGTGATTTTTTAAAGAAGATTTTTTTTATTCCGTTGTCATGGCAACCAGTTCTGCATGAGAACAATTTTTAAAGTTCACTACCAAAGGAACATTCCTGTGAAGTTAAAATGAAATTGGCTTAGCTGTTCGAGGAGATGTTGTTTAAAGTAAAAGTTTGCGGATGGACGCCGGACAAAAAGCGATACCAAAAGCTCCCCATGTCACTTTGTGACAGGTGAGCTAAAACGAATGGCTTAAAAAGAAAATATGTTGTTTGGAAGAAAATTATAGGATCAGAACCGTGATCAGAGACAATATATATTTTTCTTAAAGTCTAATTTTTATGAAATAAAATCTATTTAAAAAGATGACTGCATTGAGGGCTATTTTTGTGATGTCTACATGAAGATGCTTATACACAAAATTGAAGGAAATAAACTTACCTTTGTTTTCACATTTTTCTGTCTGTTATCAGTTTCTCTAGCACTGAAACAAAAAAAGTAAGATTAGTCAATAAAACAATGGTTACTTAGTTGATACAGACCTGCATATTAAAAAAAACCCATTTCAGTCTTTTTAGCTCATCATCAGAGCACAAATGGTAGCACGTCTCTTGTGCAGCGGGAGTCCTGCATCTTTCTCCAAGATTTCTTTATCAATATGTCCTCCAACCCAGTTTTGTAGGTCATAGAAATTATCCTCTTGTGGCCAAATACAAAAGTGACCTCTGGGTCAACTTTGGGTCCAACTTGAGGTTCACTTACTGTATATAAATTTATATAGGTGTTAGAGCTTAGTTATTTGCAATTCGGTCATTATGGCTCAAAAACTTGGTCACCGCACCCAAATATAAAAAAAAAACATGTTAAAACTCAAGAGGTAACATTTTCACACAAAATATCACTGAGGCTTGTCAGAAAAAATGTTAAGATGTTTCTACCTCAAGTTTAAATATGGGTCATCTTAGTTATGCATAAATATTAATGATTATTTTCAAAATTCAAAACAAGAGGGCCATGATGGCTTTATATTTGAGGCTTTGCCTTTTTCATATTATGATAACTGATGGATACCTTTGAAGCAACTTGGAAAAGCATCTACATTTTTTTCATTATAAGGAAATTTTAACCAGGATTTTCACTCATTAACATTTATAACATAAGTAATAAGTATGGGTAAATAAAAATTTTCAGTAAAGTTTTCCTTTGCATTTTTAACAAAAATGGTTTAATTTTCTTATTTAATTCATGATCACTGTTATTTTTACAAGAATCAGAGATTTTCAAGGATTTTTTTCCAAGATCAAGCCCTCTTTAAGCACTTTTTCAAGGACAACCTCAATTCCAGCACTTTTCAAGATAGTGATAGTTTTCAAGCACTTTTCAAGACCTGTGCGAACCCTGCATTCATTACATACTTTTTCATAAAATATAACAGAGAATTATATTCCAGTCTATTCACATTGAAATGACCAAAATAACAACCCCTTCATTTGTGAAAATAATGCATCTGGTGTTCACTCAATGAAATATTTTTATAATACACAGAAACAATCAAAAATCTTCTAAATTCTTTTTACTGCACTGAACTATTGTATTACCTGATTATAGGCTGAGCATTGTCTGAAATTTCCTCCTCTATTTCTGTTGTGTTGTCGTCTCTATAATACATAAAAATATTTCTAAGCAAGTGTTTAATGGGTTAAGTATAGGATATCGACCGAGTACGAGGTCTTTCTGTTCAGGGAAGATCTGGTCACGAATTTCATGTGACACCGAGAGCCCGCAGCGCTCGAGGTTTTTCATGAAATTCGTGACCAGGTCTTTCCTAAACAGAAAGATCGATGTACGAGGCCGATATCCAACTTACACACCGTAAAACTATATTGGCATGAGCAATGGGTGATCAGAAGCATTTGATGTAATGCACAAATGTTATTTTTAACACAACGCATATACAGGTAAGCTTTATCAACGTTCTGCTGAAATACAATATATATTTTGCATTTAACTTTGCTTTTCCCTTCAAAACAATAATCAAAAAAGCTTAATGTGCAATTTGTCAATAATAAAGTGAATAGGTCTGTAATGGAAGGTTTGTTAAAAATGAATAAGTATGTTTATAGTATTTGGTATAAGACAATGCAGATTCAAGGACATTTGTCCCCGGACAGCTGCCACCCCGGACGTTTGTCCTCTTTTTTTTTTTGCTGTTGTGACTAAGTCTTGTCACTTGTTAACTTGAGTATAGATCTGTGTATGCCAATGGAGACATTATAGTTAATTTATTTATGGATGCTATTTTGACTTTCACAAATTTGCACGAGAGTTTTTGTGTATTTAAGCACAATGAAATTTCAACAATAGGGATGAATTTTGGTAGCAAACAATTCAACAATAAAATATTTTAACATTATTAAAACAGGGAGGGGGAGGGGCAAATATCCGCCCCTTTCAAAGATATGAGGGGGCAAATGACCGACACTGCAAAAAAGGGCAAACTTCCGAGTGGGCAACTGTCCGAAGGGCAATGTCCGGATACCCAGCAGACCACGAAAGACTTACATATAAGCATTGTTAGCAAGTGTGAGATACATGAAGTGAAACTATATTTTATATAGAAGCAGATTATAAAATGTTTTAGCATAGAATATGATCGTCATCATAATTTTTTATACTAAATTACTTATAACCACATTAACATTTTTAAATTGTAATAAGTATTCCGAGATAACTGCTATATAGTTTCATAAATATGAACTTGAAGCGTCCATTTTGTTTTATTGTGAACTTAATGACAGAAAAACCACTTAGATTACTATTACTTTAAAAAAATGACGCGATTAAATAAATGTTAAATGTGTCCTAACTTTGATATGCTATCCATTATATTTATTCAAAGATTTGATATAGGGATGCTGGAATAATTGCTTAGTGCCTTCAATAAACATTATCTTGTTTAGAAAATGTATCACGATTTTGTAAAACAGGAACATTATGATAATCATTTACATTTTATTTCAATTTTTAATTTTCATGTTTTCTTTGCCGGCGCATCGGCAGGTCTATTTTTCCACGTGTATTTCATGACTGGGTCTGTCTGACTAGAACAGACCTGTGCATGAGCAAAAGATAGACCTCATAACGGACTTTCCTTTGTTTAAACAGGTCTATCCGAAAAATATAGACCTGTCACAAACAATAGAGGAGGTGTGTAACTATTGATCTGATAAAATGTAGCCTATTGAGCATGATTTGTGTTACTTTTATACCAACAAGTGATACTATTCAACTTTGATCTGATCCTATCTGTATAAATTTAACACTCTGTGTAAAAACACAATTGAATAACAATTTTTATGCCCTAGCTGGTGTAAAGATATAAAGATACTCTGTTCTGTCATAAAGGAGTGATTTATCCCCCTCTGTCAATTTTGTTATATATAAACATATCAGCAATAAGACTCAGGACTGTCTTTGACCATAAAATTAACAAAATAGAAAATGACCAACTTCTCAGATGAAGGCCCCAGGACTATTTTATTTACTTTAAAAGAAAAAAAGTATACCTGATTAAAGGTTGGGTGTTGTTTTCATGTTCTACATATATATCAGTGGCTTGACCATCAAGTTCTCCAGTATCACTGTCTTCTCTGAAACAAGATATTGTATCTGATTTAAAACATTATTTTTTTTTTCAAATCTATGTAAACATTGGGCCCTTTTGAGCAATGAGCTTTGTAAATGATTCTTTTAGTGATACTATATGATTTAAGATTGATCTAAGTTGTATAAATTAAAGGTTATTTACCTGATTAAAGGTTGGGTGTTGTTTTCATGTTCTACATATATATCAGTGGCTTGACCATCAAGTTCTCCAGTATCACTGTCTTCTCTGAAACAACATATTGCATCTTATTTAAAACATTATTTTTTTTTTCAAATCTATGTAAACATTGGGCCCTTTTGAGCAATGAGCTTTGTAAATGATTCTTTTAGTGATACTATATGATTTAAGATTGATCTAAGTTGTATAAATTAAAGGTTATTTACCTGATTAAAGGTTGGGTGTTGTTTGCATGTTCTACATGTATATCAGTGGCTTGACCATCAAGTTCTCCAGTATCATTGTCTTCTCTGAAACAAGATATTGCATCTTATTTAAAACATTATTTTTTTTTTCAAATCTATGTAAACATTGGACCCTTTTGAGCAATGAGCTTTGTAAATGACTCTTTTAGTGATACTATATGATTAAAGATTGATCTAAGTTGTATAAATTAAAGGTTATTTACCTGATTAAAGGTTGGGTGTTGTTTGCATGTTCTACATATATATCAGTGGCTTGACCATCAAGTTCTCCAGTATCACTGTCTTCTCTGAAACAACATATTGCATCTTATTTAAAACCAGGGCTCTCAGTAGGGTCAGAATTTTACGAGTCAAAGACTCTTTGGCCAAAATATTCATGAGTCAAATCATTTTTTTCTAGTGTCATTTGACTACATGAATCATCTTTATGTTACAAAAATGACTGTATTGGATGTCAGTTTTGGAGATTCCAAAGTCTAAATTGACAGAAAAAATCTATACCCCCCCCCCCTCCTCCACCTAAAAAAACCAAATAAAACAAAAAGAATGATTTTCTGTGAAAGAATAAAATAAGCAGCAGCTTTTCTGATTAAATGTATAAAATATAAAAATTTTATCTTTACTGGTATGCTATATCATATTAATTTTAAATACCAAAATGTACCTTGGAATATTTAATGGAAAAAGAAATAACAAATGCACAGGTACTCCAAGTAAATCAAAGACGTATTATAAACTTTTAAAAGCAATCAATAATTGACACCTCAAGTATGTAATTCTTATCAGTTGTGTAGAGCTATTTTTAGCACTGTCAAATTGCAGCCACGGAATTGTCGCGCTTCAGTGCACAGGGTATAAACAATTGCCGTGTGTAAAGCATTTTATACACGGCTTATACTGCCTGTTGACATTTTTAATGAGTGAGATTTGAACATAAGTAGGATTTGATAGGTAATTAGGGGTGGATTAAAGGTAATTATTATTGCATAGCTGAAAATCCCATGTGGCAAATTGTAGGGCTGGATCAATATACCGGTAAATCGGTATTTATCGATTTTCCGTTTTTCAATACGGTACGGTTATCGGGTTTTAGCTATACCGATACAAAGGGAGACAACCTAATAACACTTATAAACATGATGGCTTTACATTAAAACTATCGTCTTTAAAATGTCCGCACAAAAGTCAAAAGTGTGGAATTTTCTCTAAAGTAAATGTTAAGAAGGCCCTCATCAATATTTGAAAGGCTGCATTGATTAGTTCAGATGGAACAACGAATATGTCAAAACACAAAATGACGGATAAATCCGTGTCAAAATTAATCCGGCCATTCAATCTCCTATTTCTAACACTGGTAAAAATTACTTTCAGGTCAGCAGTAGTTTGTATTAGACCAAACATTTACTTGTAATTTTTTAAACACATATTGTGAACACATAAATCCAACAAATTTATTGATTTTCCAAGATGTAGTTTGCTAACTAAATAAATGTGACTGCGCGAAGATGTAGCTAAACACCGTTTCCCGGTACGTTACGGATTACGACACCACAACATCATGACATGATATTTATATTTTTATTGTAATTTTACCGTTTAAGATAGAAAAAACATGATTTGTTAGAAAATTTTCAATGTTCCAATACTTTCTCAGCGTATATATTTCAAATTCTACAAAAATTTGATTTTATTATAAAGATCTTATAATTTAGAACAGTTGACTTGTAGACAGTACTAGACTCCTGTCATAATAAATAGTGATGTTTTAATTATTTTCTGCGTTAACTTTTCCTAGTATTTACATAATTATATTTTTGCATTGAATTATTTCTCTACAAAGCTTTTTAATTTTTTTTTCAAAATAATTGTTTTATCTAAAAAAGGGACCATCATGTCATTTTCAAAATATTACCTCAAATGTACTAATTAAGGTACCTATGCACCTGCTCTGTATTATATATCATCATTAACAAAGTCAAAATCTAAAACAGATATAAGAAAGATTCAATAATATTTCACCAGGGCATCTATAAAATGTAAATAGTACTTTTAATAAGTACATCCTAACAATGAAGCATCATTGTACTGTATCGTCAATACGTATTGTGTATCGTTGGTCTGTATCGCAATGCGTATCGTATCGGAAATTTCTGATCAATACCCAGCCCTAGCAAATTGACTCTTGAGCAGATTTTATCACGTGTCAAATTTGTGCATTTCCCCATTTTCACAAGTCAAAACCCGGATCCCCGTGTCAATCGATAGCCCTGTAAAACATTTTTTTTTTCAAATCTATGTAAACGTTGGGCCCTTTTGAGCAATGAGCTTTGTAAATGACTCTTTTAGTGATACTATATGATTAAAGATTGATCTAAGTTGTATAAATTAAAGGTTATTTACCTGATTAAAGGTTGGGTGTTGTTTTCATGTTCTACATGTATATCAGTGGCTTGACCATCAAGTTCTCCAGTATCACTGTCTTCTCTGAAACAAGATATTGCATCTGATTTAAAACATTATTTTTTTTTTCAAATCTATGTAAACATTGGGCCTTTTTGAGCAATGAGCTTTGTAAATGATTCTTTTAGTGATACTATATGATTAAAGATTGATCTAAGTTGTATAAATTAAAGGTTATTTACCTGATTAAAGGTTGAGTGTTGTTTGCATGTTCTACATGTATATCAGTGGCTTGACCATCAAGTTCTCCAGTATCACTGTCTTCTCTGAAACAACATATTGCATCTTATTTAAAACATTATTTTTTTTTTCAAATCTATGTAAACATTGGGCCCTTTTGAGCAATGAGCTTTGTAAATGACTCTTTTAGTGATACTATATGATTAAAGATTGATCTAAGTTGTATAAATTAAAGGTTATTTACCTGATTAAAGGTTGGGTGTTGTTTTCATGTTCTACATATATATCAGTGGCTTGACCATCAAGTTCTCCAGTATCATTGTCTTCTCTGAAACAAGATATTGCATCTTATTTAAAACATTATTTTTTTTTTCAAATCTATGTAAACATTGGACCCTTTTGAGCAATGAGCTTTGTAAATGACTCTTTTAGTGATACTATATGATTAAAGATTGATCTAAGTTGTATAAATTAAAGGTTATTTACCTGATTAAAGGTTGGGTGTTGTTTGCATGTTCTACATATATATCAGTGGCTTGACCATCAAGTTCTCCAGTATCACTGTCTTCTCTGAAACAACATATTGTATCTTATTTAAAACATTTTTTTTTTCAAATCTACGTTAAACAATATATTGGGCCTAAATGGGCCCTTTTGAGCAATGAGCATGATAAATTAATTTTTGTAAATGACTATTAAGCGATTTAATTTAATTGTATAATTTAAATTCTCTCTTTTATAAACAAGATTTTTGACAATGTTTAAATGTTAATTCATATGATTTTTTCGAAGTCTAAGTTGAATAAGAAGCCTACAGTTCGGTGTTTGGCGTAATTTATATTACTTAAATATAGAACACATGGCCAACCTTTGTGAGGTCTACTTTAGTTTAAGATTAAAGGATATTATTTTCTTTCCTGAACGTCAATGCATAAATCAATGTCTAAATTAACATAAATGCCAAATAGAGCCAGAAACTATAGAAGACCATGGTACAGCTCTTGATTAGTTTTTTTTTATTACTGTAAATGATATATGCAGTACTCTTGAAAATACAACCAGGACAACATTCAGGAACTAATCTGAATTTTCATACATCCTAGTAATGATGGTTCAAGCTGTGTTTGGAAAGTCAGACTGCAAAGTCTGTGAAACTGTGAGTCACAGTATATAGGTAAAGACATGTAAGAAGTAATACAAGAAAACAAGCATGTGTATAAAGAGCCTAGCAGGTCATGGTTGTAAGAAATCAAACAGATTTTTAGGAAAAACTGCATTTGATTGATACTTGATGATTGAAGTAAAAAGGTTCCTCCATTAATTTCGAGGCTCAATTATGAGTATTGTCTAATTTTGAAACCCTAATTAGGAGGAAAAAACTACCAAACTTCCACTTACAGAAGCCCTGCAATGGAAACAAGAGCAACGCTCCACTATTTTTAGTGCTTGATAGTAAAAAAAAATGCTTGATACAGTAACCTCCTCCTGTTTACAGGTTGGGGTCATGATGGTGAACAAGTGTGCAAAGTTTCAAAGCCATATGTCAATGGACTTTGAAAATATTTGAACTATTACAAAAACTTTAACATAAGTGGTTACGCCGACCAAACGGCGACGCTCGGGTGACTACAATAGCTCGACTTATTCTTATCGAAAAGTCGGGCTAAAAATGTTGGTTTAAAGTAATATTAGTGTCCAAATTGTTTTGACCAGTTTATGCTTAATCAGTCATCGTCCGGTGGCCCATGGCCAGTGAAAATTATTTCTGGCCAGTGAAAATTTTAAGAAAATTTAGTTAAATATTTAGTAGAATAAATTCAGAACTGGAATTCGGGCTAGTAAATTCAAAATCTTTAAATTCATTGACTGCTTAATTTATACAACAATTTGTAAGCTTCAATTTAAATAAGTGAACAGGTGGGTGGGGCTTAATTTGACCTTTCGGACATTATTTAGAGGACCTCTAACTTATGATACATACCTCATATCCTGGGCAATAGATGATGTGCTTGATAATGCATCTGTTTTCTCTACCGTGCACTGTAGTGGAACTATGAAAAAAGATATTATATGAGATGACCCAGGTTCGAATACCTCCAAGCATTTATCTACACAAGCATCCAGGCAAAGTTTGATGATGATTGAGTCAAAAATGTGACTAGAGTGTTCGCAAGATTTTTCTATTTAAAGCTCCTGTGCCTTATTTTTTCCTCCAAGATGACCCATGTTCAATCTCATCCGAGCAATTATCTAGAAAAGCATCCTCACAAAGTTTATTGATGATTGAGTCATAAATGTGACAACTAGTATTCACAAGAAATTGTGGACGTATGGCAGACAACAGACATTCACTGATCCTAAAGGCTCATCAGTTTACTGTCTTTGAATGGCCACTGGTAGCACAAGACAAATGTTATTGAATACAACTTAATTATAAATGGTTTATTGATGGAGGTATTTAAAATGGTCATTTGAACAAAGAACCACTTAAAAGTTTGTAAAACATATATATCTCACTCTTTAATCAAATCAAAATGATAAATTGTTTAAAACTGGAAAATATGTATTTATATGTGAACAAAGAGATTTTATGGGCAAATGGATACATAGGAAAAATACAGGGGGGGAAATCATTGTCTATTTCTTGCGTATGCTCATTCAGAGTGCCTTAAAGAAGCATACAATTAAGTACCTTTTATGTCAGATATATACCGGACATTAAACCCTTCTTTGTCAACTCCAGCTTTGCAAAAAAATTTTGCATCATCATCGGGTGAAAATCTTTTTTTCTGGAAAAGGAAAACAAGTTTCGCATTAATTAATTATAAGATTAGTGACATAAAATTCTTTAGAAACAGCAGAGAAAAACATGCATTGTATTTAGATGATTTTTATCTTCAGTTTGAATATGGGTCTTCTGAAGTCTAAAACATAGTTCACACCGCCCAAATTGAAATATGGACAAAAAGCTGTAGGTCTTTCAAGGTTATATTTTCAGTACTATTATGAAGACAATTTTTTAAGAAAGTTTGCTTTCATGATTTCTAGCTCTAGTTTCAATATGGGCCCATGAGTAGCAGGGATATGGTTATTTTGTCCCCTACTTGTGTAGGTTCAAACTCCACATCAGTTCAAGTGAAGGAAGAAATGAGTAAGTTTTTCCTGACAGCTGACTGATATTGCAGATATCTTGTTCTACACATATGGGCCGCTATATACAGTACTATAATATTAAAATAAGATATAAGGTCACCAACAAAACAAAAACATCATGTTCAACAAACAAGTATTTGAGGGATTTTAATGAAATAAAAAGCGTTAGCACTTGGATTGATGCTTTTAAATGGCGACAAAAACAGATAACCGTGATCTGGTCGCTTCTTTCAGCAATGTTCTTGTTTATTCCGCATGATGTTTTTGTTCTGTTGGGGGCCTTATATCTTAATATACATATATAGGCCGATGATGTAAAATATTTGATTATGTAGTTCTACACATGTACAGAAATTTTGAAAAAATCAGCAAAAGAAACACGAGACTAACAGCTAAAAATAATTTGCACAAGACATTGCCACATGGACAATATTGTTATTTATTTATTTGTTATATTACATATATAGTGAAAAGTAAACAAGAATCTGTGTTTGATAAACACAAATGCCCCCGCGCTCACTGTTGTAAGTAATTAAACTTTAGAGAGTGAAGTAGCTAATTTGTATGGAAGAAAACCAATCATGTGTAGAAATCTGTACTTGGCACCCTTGACCTTGACCAACTGACCCCCGGTAACTCCACCCAAAGGAAGAATTTCATGCAACTTATTTTCCTACCAAATATGAAATAAATCTGTCAATATATAAAGGCTGTATGGGCAAAAAAAGTAAAAATCTATTTTTAGCACTGGTGACCATGACCCAACTGACCCCTACCTCCATCCATAAATGAGAATACCTCAATTTTATGTACATCTACAAAATATACAAGACATCTGTCGATAGAATAAGGTTAATACACCTGTAAAAGTGTAAAAAATCTATTTTTGACATTGGTGACCAAGTTGACCCAAATGACCCCTTATTAAAAAAAACCGAAGAGGACCTCCCTTGGTATGACTATTATAAACATGAAAGACATTAACTTAAAATTAATTTTTAGATTTATTTTTTTACACAAGTGACCTTGACCTTGACCTAGAGACACCTAGTGCCACAAAAAATTAGAGGACCGTTCAAGGTATCCACCTTACAAATATGAAATATATATCATTAAATAAATTAAGTAATTAGGTGATTTTTTTCAAAGTGATGAAAAGGGAAATTACTGGGAAAATGGATGGCACATTTATATAACTTGGCAATATCATGTACATTGTATTGATAAGTAAGTGTGAAAATTATTAAGCCATTAGTTCAGAGAGAAACATAAGATATTTCCAACTTGCCGGTTTAGGTTAACCATTATTCATTTTCCAAGTGCTGAAAAGGGCCATAACTTGGTGCAAATGAAAGCCATAGTTATGTAACTTGCCCAGATCATATACTTTGTATGGATTAGTAAGTGTGTAAATTATGAAGCCATTGGTAAAGGTAGAACTTAACAAAAATCCAACTTGCCGTTCTAGGTTAACCTCGTACGGACAGACCGACAGCCGGTTCAATTACTATATGCCCGGGGGCATAAAAAAATTCTTCTTCAAAACAACAATGGTTAGAACTAAGATATTTTTACAAGAAACATTTTCTTGTGGACTTCAACAAGATTGTTCATTGTTCAAGCACCTATTCGATAGGAATATATTTCATCCAGTAATTTGATTGCCTGGTTAATATAAAGGATCTAAGTACACATGTATATAATTGACAGCCAGAAAAATATTACCTGCAGAGATCCTGAGAGCTTCAAACTTGCCTTCAACTGAAAAGGAATGGAAAAAAATGTTTTTTGTTAATTTACAACTTTTGTATACAGTACTTTCCAAATTCTGCCAATCCCCGCAAATTTTCTACTGGTGGATTGTCACTGTGACATCCCTGCAAGAGTTCTGACTTTATGCTCATCACCCGATCAGGTGAAATTTGCGCTTTGGGAATTATCATCATTGTGGATCACTGAAATATTGCAGGGACATTTCGCTCTCTCTGGTGACCATTTATTAATTCATTACACATATTTACCTGCGTCTGTAAAAATAACACATACATCATTTGTCTCCAGTGGATATTTGCACACATGTTTTTAAAAATTGTTAAAGTATGTAATTGTCAGTTACCAACATTCATGGCCAATTGTTAAAATTCCAAAGTGCTAAAATACACACTAGAACTCCGCAAAAGGGATGTGTCACCTTGTATGAAAATTAACAAAGGGCATATAATACCTTAAATATTTAGAAGTGCAGAGTAACAGTAACGATTCTCGTGCACTGCACTTAGGGTCATTGAAAGAAGCCAGGGTTTTTTTACTAACAAATTGACACCTGAAGTTGGCGTCTTTGCCTTGGTAAATTGCTAAGTTTTTTCCCCAAAAATTTTATTTTCCAGTTAAACTGGATCAGATTAAATTTTAATGTGATTAAAAATATTATTTTTTTCCATTTCAGCAAATAAAACCCACCAATTGTAGTCCAAAATAACCAAAAACAAATTTGCAGGAAACTGCAAGTAGTTTCTCACCATGGAGGCTGACATTTTGTTTCTTGGCTATATCCCGTATTGAACGGTACTATTTCTTGAAATTAAATGCCATCAAAATGTTGTCATTATCTGGGTTATTGTTTTAAGTGAAATAAGATCATTTTTATTTCAAAATGACTTCTATAGGCAAGTGTGCCACAGCTATACTTATTGAATTCATACAAAAATGGAAGTGTTTGATGATGACAAAGTTTTTAAGGGAAAAAAATACATAACTTTGTGACTCTCTACTAAGTAGTTTAGTATTTAGTATGAATAAAATAGTTTCTGTTAACGTCATAATTTCCCCAAATTGTCTTTTCACATATATACCAGCATCTTCCCCTTTTCCTAAAATATTACCCTGCAAGCATGCATACCAAGATTGGAGTCAATCTGATTTATAGTGACTGAGTCATGCTCCGGACAAACCTAAGGGGACGCAGGTCCTGCCAATGCCGACAACGACGCCAACAAAGGAAACCCCTATAATTATGTCGCCTAAAAGGTGTCAAAAACCACTCGCACATAAAGTAGCATCAATAAATAAATGAAAAATAATGTTACCATTGTTAAACAAGAAAAGCATTGATGCAAAGCATCAAAGGGCGACGCCAAAAGAATTTGATCCAGATTTGCACCTAAATACTTAACAAAAGATGTGTACTTTATAGCAGTACCATTACATGTGACCTGGAGGCTAGGGCCAGGTTAAGTTGAAACTTAAACCAAAAAAGAATAGACTCTGTCTTGCCAAGATGCAAAGGCAATTTATAGTCAATTAAGCAATCTTATAAGAGTTTAGACTCATGTTATAAGAAAGAATTTCTTCAGATTTAATTTATGAGACACAAGGATTCCTGAGTCATCAGCATATAATCACTGGCACGAGTATCGGACCTGGGAAGAAAAAATATGACCAGATGACCAGATTGATAAAAAAAAACTGTGTTTATAAAAACCAAAATAAAAAATGTAAATAATGATCCCCTTTAAAAATATACTTTCAACTTGAAGTATATTTTTAAAGGGGGTCATTATTTACATTTTATTTTGGTTGTTGACACTTTTAAGATGAACACAGGTTTTTTTATCAATCTGGCCATATTTTTTCATCCAAGGTCTGATACTCGTGCCTGTGCATTATAATAAAAGCTTATTGCTTAGGGTTGAAGACATGTAATTGACATATATTAGACATAAAAGAGGACCTAAAATGAACATAAGGGGGGACAGCATAGGTACTCAGAGCAGTAGTAGAATAAGTACCAGCCACATCAACCAGCTACTATCAGAGATAAGACTTAAACCATGTAAGAATGTCATTATATATGGCAGATGCTTGAAGTTTCATGAAGAAGAAGAAAAACAACTTCTTCATGTGCAGGATAGTGTGTTCAACTGTATCAAATGCCCTTTGTAGATCTAAAAGTATCATGCAATACTGCCTTTGTCCATTTCAAATAATGCAATCTGTTAAATGAATCAAACATGTGTCAATTGAAAAACCACTTCTAAACCCTGACTGAAACAGCCTGACCATGACTCAAACCCATGACTTTCAGAAGACCAACTGAGCTATCCGTCCTGCTACACATTTTCTCTTTATAATGAAACAGTTCTAAACCACAACATATTTCCTCACTATATCGATTTGTGTTCGTGAATTTCTTATGTTACAGAGCATAGGAAATTGAACTCATGCTTATATGCAGTCATAGGATGAGAAAAACTTTGAGCTTGACCAGAACTCATTAACCTGTGACCAACATAAGAAGAAATTTTATGAAGGCTGATTTGTATTTTGCATCAAGGGCACCGGGCAAAAACATGAAAATGCAACAAACAAACCACTTTGTGGTAGATTGTATTTTCATGTTTTCATCTGGCGCCCAGTTACTTTTTGTACTATGTTTGGTTTTCATGTGGCACAAATCACCACTATAAATTTTAGTGCACAAATTTATTCAAGGGCAAGTAACAATCTACTCTATGTACAGTCTGTTGTCGCGTTGACTCAGGAGACCTGGAGGTTGAGACCGGTGTCTCTTCATTACAAATAGATAAGACAGAAGCTGTCCTTTTCAAACTATGCACATGTTAGAATTCAGAATATGATTTTTTGAGACTTTATTAATTATATTGCTTGATCCAAGTTTAAGGACATTTTCAATCAATACATGTTTTATCATTTATAACTTTAAATGAAAGTCTCATCCCTTTAATAATAATGACATAACTGTATCTCTTTAAATGCAGAAAAATTATAAGTCTCAACATATCAATATACTACTGTCTAAGATATACATGTACATGCACATAACATTAATAATTCCCAGTTTATATTAAATAAATATGTAATCCTAACATAAACATTAACATGCTTTTGATGACCTTACAACTGGTGAATTATATACAACAAAAATAGTATTATAAGTAATACCTAAGATAGACAGAAAAGAACAAATAATTTAGTAAACATAAGTTACTTCCCCTTAAAATAAAGAAAACCTGAAACCCAAAAGAACACGATAAACAGCAAAATTATGAAATGTTGCAGGTTCAATTTTATCAAGCCATGCAAATTAATGGTAAAGTATTCATAAAAAAAATAGATGGCCATGTGTCAGCAGTAATTGCAGAAAATTGGATAGCTTTCAACATCCGGATACTGGTACACTTTGTAAAAACAACCATTCTGCGCAACAGATAAATGTAATAAGGATAAAATCAATAGGGATAATCGTTTACAACAGTTTCATTACCTATCCTTATACTCAATTGCAGGTTGAACTTTCTTCTTGTAGGAAAATTTTGAAAAATGTATAAATGATACGGCCTCAATCTAGACCACAACGATATTCGAAATCCGGGTTTTAGTATTGTCATTAAAACTAAGGGACAAGCTGTTAAACTTAACCCGCAATTTCGTGAAAATAATATCACAATGCACATGCTTTTTACATAAAGTTATTGAATACAAATATAACAACACATTTGTTTACTTGATTTTTACGAATCAAAATAAAACTAATTTACACAACATGAAATTAACTGCTAATTATAACAGCTCCTTCCATAGGCAAAAATAAAAAGCGTTCCATAATAGACGACGCCGCTCACCGGCGTCGCCAATAATATACATAATTTGTGTCAAAATTTACACACTAGATGACATCTGAAATATGACTAGTCGACTCTTGAAAAGAATCTGTCAATCTTTGATATTTACATTTGTATAGTCCCTGCCGAATCATAAAAGAAATGCCGACAACCAGATCATATATATATCAAATAAAAAAGTTGTCATCTTTTTCGTCAAGAAACAATTACACATCTCATTGCTCAAAAGTATAAAAAAACTAGAAATGTGTCCATAGGACACGGATGCCCCCACACACCACTGTTCTGTCAATCTTAAATAACTCTAGGTCAAATGTTTTTAAGACTACATGTGCCACAAGTTGAAAACTAAAAATCAACAAAGGGCCATTATTCTGTAAAATGTGGTTGCAGCAAAAATGTCTTCCTTTACTACCATCTACACATAAAGGTTGTTCATCCCTGCAAGTTTAAGCAAAATCTTCCATCCGGTTTAAGAGGAGTTGCATTCACAAAATTTCTACATAGTATATAATGAAAAAATCAACAAAGGGCCATAATTCTGTTAAATTTGGTCCCAGCGAAAATTCCTTTCTTTACTACCATCTACACATTAAGGTTCTTCATCCCTGGAGTTTAAGCAAAATCTGCCATCCGGTTTAATAGGAGTTGTGTTCACAAGATTTCGAGATGTACGGACAGATGCACTTTGTGGGGGCATAAAAATGTTGGATAATTAACTTATTAAGTCACGGTCTAGAACTGTTCACTATTTATGGGAGAAAGTGTGTATGCTGCTGGATAGCTTAGTCAGTAGAGCCACGGAATGGTTTTCAGAATGTCCCGGTCAGGCTGCACATTTTTCTCACCCAGTGACAATTATAGTCTCTATAATGTCAATTATTCAGGCTGGTGAAAATGCCCGATTGGGCTTATGAGATAAAAAATAATATTTAAAAAAAAATTAATAAAGATATTTCTTTTAAACTTTGTTTGTTTATTGAGCATAATATATGACATAAACAGAAAGAAGATAATTGGTTACTGTCACTTTTGTGAGAACTATTTCCCCTTTTTCATGTTTATATGGCATATAATTTTTGAAGTCCTTAAAAAATATGTTGCAATTTAAAATTCTTAACAGAAATATGTCCAACATCTTCACTTTGCTCAAAATTATTGCGCCACTAACTTTACTCTATATATTTCAGGGTTTTTTTTTACTAACAAATTGACACCGATAGTCGGCGTCTTCCCCTCGGTAAATAGCCAAGTTTTTTCCCCCAAAAAATTCTATTTTCCTTTAAACTGGATCAGATTTAATAATTACATGGTTTAAAATATTATTTTTCTTCATTTTATGCAGGATAAACCACCAATTGTTGTCCAAAATAACCAAAAACATTGCAGGAAACTGCAAGTACTGTCTCAACATGGAGGCAGCCATTTTTTTTTCTTGGCTATATCCCGTACTGAACGGTACTATTTCTGGAAATCAGTTGCTATCAAAATATTGTCATTTTCTTGGTTATTTTTAGTAAAGTAATATATTTTGTACTTCTTATTATGAAAATGACTTATATGGAGCTAAAGTGTGTCACAAATACACTATTATACCTATACTGTATTAACTTTCATATAAAAATAGAAGTATAAAAACCATTCACCACCATACATATTAAGAAAATATGTTATACTGCAAAGAATATTTTGCATGATGATAAAGTTTTTAAGGGGAAAAAGATATAGTTGTAACTCTCTACTGTGTAGTTAAGTATATAGTATAAATAACGTCATAATAAAGTTTCCCCAAATTGACTTTTTTCGTATATTTTTTCCCCTCCCTACCAGCGTCCAGCGTCTTCCCCTTTTCCTAAAAAAAACCCCTGTATTTGGAATTAATATTCTATTCCTGGCATAAATACTTTGACAATTCTTTGACACTGAACAGTACTGGCATGCAAGCAGTTCCCGTACAGAAGCAGTACCCGTATTTTTCATTTAAACGCTTGATTTTTACTTGCAATCTTCAAAAATTCATTTCAAATCAAGCAGATGCATAAAAGAGACAAAATCTAAGTGTCAGTTCGGCAGTACGTATAAAAGTCTCATTTTAAATCACTTTCACCTGTGCTTTGTCAAAACGTGACCTTGTTTTCTCTGGGGGATTCCGTCCTTGCGCGCATGCGCTAAAATACTTACACGTGAGGCATGTTAAAGGGTTTTCCACTAATACCACCTGTTTACAGGTAAGTAGGCAATGTGATGAAAACTAGTTTAATTATCAGAATTTTGATCAATATTACTATATTAAATAATTTTATGGCTTTGATGCGTAAAATATCATGCATTCAAGCATGCCATTGTATGAGAATGCGTTGGGGTAACGGTACCGGGTAATAGATACCAGCGTTTAGTCTACGCTCTATTTCCTGAATTACATCTATTCATCTCTTAGAAAATGGTCTGTTCAACAATTATAATTGAAAAATAGGTCCGATATAACAAAATTGTATAATTATAATGGGTTAAATTTTATGTACGGGAACTACTTCTCTTCATACAAAATAATGGATAATTTCGGTACCCCATATGAGGCCTCATAACTAAGGGTTATTCTATGTTTAGAACATGATGGAATTTCCATGATTTGTGTGACGAGCCGAATAGTGATGTGTAACATTCAAATTTTGGGGAGTGAGCGTAATAAAAAATAATGTTTAAGTAAATACGATTTTTGTACGGGAACTGCTCGCATGCCAGTATACTTTGAAGTTTTTTTTGAAAAATGTATGAAATGAATGTTGACAGGTGTTGGCGCAATAAATTGATTCATAAAGAAGTTATTTAACTTATTTTGTTTTATACTTTTTACATGTAACATATTTTTTAAGGACTTGGAAAATTATGTATTATATAAACATAAAAAGGGGAAATAATTCTCACAAAAGTGACAATTACCAAATATTTTCTTTCCGTTTATGTCATCTATATCATGCTCAATAAACAAAGTTTAAAAGAAATATCTTCATCATTTTTCTAGAAATATGATTCTTTGTCATTATAAGATAATTCGGCCATTTTCACCAGCCTGTTATTGACATATAATTAAACATAAGGGCATCTTGATTGTGATATATTGTTTTACAATACACTGATTTCGCAAACATAACTTCAGAACTACCCATTCATATACTGGTTCGGGACCACCAAAACCGGAAACCGCAGACGGCCCGAAATGCTTCATTTAGTATTTTCTTTGTTCATTGCTTGTCAGTCACTTTTTAATCAACAAAAATGCATGTTTCTTCTAGTGACGTTATGCACATCCAAGGGTATATAGTGAGTAAATGGGTGAAGATCAAAATATGTTTTCATTTTGTCATAATCCCTTTTAATTTAATAATTAACTTCACATAAAAAATAAATAACACACAGATCCAAATGAAATTTCTGTAAATATCCGTTAGAATTTACGTATAACGCTTAGTTTATAAAAAGAGTGGGACAGTCTTTTAAAATTTTAGGTAGATTTATAATTTCATCCTAAACATTTTCCAATATCAACTGTTGGTCAAACACCATCATTTTGACAGTCAATCTTTAGAAATATAAAGCAAATTCAGCTCAACTTGACTATGAAAATATGAGCATAATGTCACTTTAAGTATATTAATTTCAACCTCCGTATATAGTAATATTTTAATGTCTATTTCAAACGTTTCAAAAATGAAAAATGTTGCCGTTAAAATTTGGGCGCCAAGAAAGCCATGCCTGACGTCATCATATACCCATATACCAGCGAATCTCTGACATTCCACAAGCAATTGCGGGGATTTTTTAACATGTAGATGTTGTTATTCTTAATAATAACAATAGGTATATACTATATCAAATAAAATATTTGCTCACCATGCGTTTCCCGTAGGTAGAACTCGTCGCCATCTTGTCTACCGCTTGGCCTATTCTAAAATTAGATTTTACCCACTAACCACTGCGTCACCTGTGCTGAATTTTGGACAAGTGATTAACAAGTTCACGAACCATCGCACCTCATTACAACGCTTAATAACTATAATTCTATTTAAGTTCTAAAATCATAACTTAAAAATGACAGTCAAATCGTCTTTACACCCAGCTTTTATACGTTTAAATGAATGTTATTATTTTTGCATGATGTGAAAAGATATTCTTCTGGGACTGGGTGAAAAAAATCTCCTGATCAACATGTACACGACCATATTTTCAGTGCCGTAGCTACTATAAGGCCATGTAGGCCCGGGCTTACAAGTTGGTCAATAAATTGACATTTTAAAAAGTCCCAAAAATACAATAAAAACAGGGGCGATACTAAACTGCTGACGAATTAGCTGACGATATAGAATATATAGGAAACTGCTGACCAGTTAAACAAAGAAGGATTATCGAAAACTGCTGACCAGTTAGATAAAGAAGGGAAAACAATGAAAGTGTCAAATTGCCGTTGGTGATATAACAGGCGAGGTCGAGAAATACTTGATAAAATGTTTTTTCAAGATGTCAATATTACAAATGATACATATTAATTATAAAAATTTCAATTGATATATACTGTATATTTCTCAATTTCTTTTGATATAATATTTTATTTAAGTACCTTAATGAATTTTCTTCTATGTGTTATATATATTGGTTAAAATTTTAAAAATGGAGTCAAAATATGATGTACGAAAAATCATAATTTGTTTCAAGTATGTATAAAACTATGCATCATAGGTTAAAATATATACATGTACATATGTAATGTATATTTTAACAAAATATAATTATTATGTCGTATTTAGTGCAAATATGAAATAAAGTGATTTCTGTTTGCTTATTTGTTGTTCGTATAATTGTATAAGTAATATTGAACAATAATTAATAATGTGCTAATTGTTATAGTTAATAAGCTTTAATTACATTATAAACAACATGTTTCTACAGATATCCATTAAACTGATAATTTATCGAGGTGGGGATGGTAGTGGGTTCAAGCCGTATGGTCAAATCAGGTGTGTCTTAAGCTTATGTCTTGAAAAGGCAGTGAATTATACGCTGCTGGACTTAAGATACATATGGTATTGTATGCATGTAACTGACAGACACAACAGATCAAGCACACATATGAACATAGAAAAATGTATTTCTTCATCTTAATTGCTGTATTTATAGTGCAATTTGGTCGTACTGAATCATCACATTTTGTATTGTATCTGCGTGTTGCTAAAAATCTTTTTCGATGCACATACCGCATTTATAACTTTTCTATCTTGAGAAAAGATTAGAAATGATAGTTTAACGTCTCAATTCCGACTAAAAGGGCGCAAAGAATAGAGGAATTGATAAAAGATTGACCTTGATTTTCTGTCAGAATGTTAGCCACTTTCATGGTATTTTTTGCCATCGACGGCAGCATTTAAAATATTTATCTGCCTACAACGGCAGCATTTTTTCTTCGACCGGACCAGATTGAACGTCTGTAAAACTTTCAAGAAAAGACTCACGGGATAGATATTTGGCTTGCGTGACCCCAATGGATGAATGTCTATATTAATAACACGAACTCCTGCCATTTAGTTAAAACTAGAGTTATTTTGAACATAAAACAGACATTTTCATGGATTTTTCCGAAGCTGTCACTTTTTAACCTGCTCAAAATAGTCTAAAAACAGGAAAAACAAGTCAAAATTACCTAATAGTATCTACAGTCAATGGACAATAGTTTCATAGCAATGAAATGGGTCGTATTTGTGTAATATAATAATACCAACCAAATTTATAACCTACCTGTACCGAGCGGTAAATTTCAGCTATCTGCCATCACTGCAGTGATCTGCCATCACTGCCTCCGGTAATACGGTGTGATGTTGTTCTTGTTAATAATGCATATATCCGTTTGTTTATTATGAATTATGACCACAACCAATTTTTTAGGCTTTTAAATTTCAGTTGAGCTATAGAAAATTTTATTTAAATAGCCCAAAAGGGTTTTAGTCTAGACTTGTTTGGAGCAATGTTTTGTTGTAACAGTAAGTCAATACATGGAAATGGAAAACAGAAACGTTCAGGGGCGTAACTGAGCTATTTTGAAATGTACTCCTTAACTAGGTGGGTTCGGGGGCATGCTCCCCCGTGAAAATTTTTGAAAGGAGAAGCGATATCCTGGCATTTCGTGACTATCTAGAGGCTTTATTGACAACATATTGGAGATGATTTCAAACTCTTTTTATTAATTTTAACATAATTATTATGTAAAATGAACAAGTACGTATTTATACCATAAAACTTTTCTTATATTTATAATTGATATTTTTACAGCACAAATTTGTTATTTTGCAACCTTCGAACTGATGTTATAGCAACAAATCTCCCGTATTCAATAAATTTGAAAGTAAAAATAAACAAACAAACAAACAAACAAAAACAAACACTAGACGTCTGCAAAGTTGCCTACTCGCCCTTTTTAAACATTTATGAGACCTAGACAAGACATACGCCCAGTGTCTATAGTACGTATTTCTGACGTTTTAGTTCAGTTGTTTCCGAGAACTGACATGACCACTAAAAGGGTCAAACAATGCCTCAAGTTTGGGTACAGAGCCTTGCTTCCTTCAGTAAAGCCGGGGCTGCTGGAATTTACGTTAGTCCAGCACATACGCCACAGCTAACAGTGAGATTCTCGGACAAACATGGGTTTATTCTGAAGACTTTATGACACGCTATTATAACATAAAATATTAAAATCGATTCATGATGTATATTTAATACAAAACACATACATTTAATCCTTGTGCTTGGCCAGTATTTATCCAAATAATACTACCTGGCTCGGGCACCAACCACCGTTACTCGTAAATCTGCAGACGTTATAACATGGAAAAACGTGCGCTAACCGTATAATATAGCATAAAATTGGCTATTTCCCCCTCTTATACGGCGTATAGACATCGCCGCTAATATATCAAAAAGTAAACGCAAAGATATTTTAAAATCTCCTTTCAGAAATGTCACTAAATTAATTAAAATTCGTTACGTATAACATACATGTAGATTATGTTGAGTTAACCATAAAACTCACGTGAATACATTAAAGGATTCATTTTAGATATTTTGTGATAAAGTAAATTCTTTAGTAGATATGTGACTTTAATAATGATATAATTGCACATGGAACTTGCTTGATGACTCATCGCAATGTTTTGCTGACCACAAAGAATAATTATCTCACCAACTTATTCAAGAATCTTTCAAATAAATGCATACAATTGAGATGGAATTTTACACTCTATTTAGATCATTTTAAATAAAAGATATTAATGTATTTACAGTATATGTTATGATTTTTTATGATAGAAAAATTAGCAGGCCTATATGAATATATGTTGCCTAGACCACACTACCCCTCCGTTTTTATCACTTTTTTAGAACTTTTAGCGCATGTGATTTTTTGGAATACAGGATTTATTTGTACGCACGGGCGTAAAGGAGTACGCCTAGTTACGCCCCTGACGTTATTTCTCTAACAGAAGCATATTCTCTCTCTGTCTCTCTGTCTCGATTCATGTTTATTAAATTGTTTAAAATGATGTTTCCAATCTTAGATTCTCTCAATATGAGACTCATCCGAAAATAAAAATGTCCGAATCCGACCTTTGAATACCCTTTTCAACAATCCAGCATTGATAGTGGTTCAGAGCTAGATAGTATATATCTATATAGATCTACTGAAGATTGATTTAAGTGTTGTGTACAAATACATTAGATCTACAATAAAATCACGAAAACAACTAACCATTCTCTTTCCGTGCGACAGCGAACACATTGTTGTCCACCATTTGTTTCAAGGGCACACAAGACAAAAGCGCACCTTACAGATGACGTCATCA